GAAGATCCGATGAAAAGATTGAGAAGGTAAATGCTTTCCCCCTGTACCAGGAAGGCAGAGTTCTGGATTACCAGGTGGTTGTTTCTGGTTTACAAGTGGTGCTACCTGTGAGGTTCATACAACGTTAAGGCAAGGCAAGCTACAGTCCTATTAAAGAATCCAATTTTTTCCTTTATTTTATCCCTTTGGCTGCCTCCACCTGTCTCACTTTGCGGGTGGCTGTTGCTGCAGCTACTGCTTGTGTTTTAGCCATTAGTTTTGTGTAGCCTAGTTTCTCACAAATGGGAACAACTGTGGCAAAATCAGCCTGTATGTACAGAGGAGCCGGAAAAATGTTTGGCTGGCACTCTGTACCCTGCTTCTTCTGATGTCTTCTTCCACTAGAGAAATAAGTTCTTGACTAAATGCACAGGTCGCTGGCTCAAACACAAAATAGATGCCAGTTTTAAAGATGCTTTATACCACTTTGTAGTTTGCATATACAAGGACTTTGTGAAAATTTGGTCCTTGAAATTTGTGAAATTCTCCAAGGGAAATCTTATAGTAAAAACACAAGCCCTCAATAATGATTTGTTCCGTGGTAATAATAAACGGTCTTGGTCTATGTGAACCAAAACCAACCAAGTTCTGTGGGTTCAAAAATAACATGAGGCCAGGATAAGGCCTGGCCTGTGAGCTATTGGCACATGAAGAGCTCACAGGACTTCTGTTACTGATTTGGTGGTGCTGTGTTACAGTGAAATTCACGGTGCTCAGGTTTACTGGCCGTTCAGTCATATTCAGTCTGAAGTCAAGGAATATATTGCGGAGGGAAACCTGGCTAAGAGAATGGTGGCCTTGATTTGCTGGCTTCTAGTGCTGCCATCAGTGAGCTCCCGTATCCCTAGTTTCTCTGGGGTGGCTAAGCTGGGGATGAAAACATCTCTGCTGCGTCGGAGCGTCGCAGTCTTCCTCTCCCTCAGGACTGCCTAGGAGAGGCTGGATCAGTGGTGTTGGAGGGAGCCGAAACGTGATCAGCTCTCTGCCAGGGACTAATGCAAAGGCTCTTTTTATCTACCCGTGTCCTATTTTGATGAATAAATGTTTGACACTAATAGTGATAAGAATTACCCAGGGAGGCGGGAGTAGAGCTTTGCTATGCTGGTTTTAGCAGGGGGATAAGCAATGAGGGAATGACAGACCCATCTGTCTCTGATATGAACACTACAGATTAATGTCCCACACCCAAATGATGCTTGGCAAGGGGCAGAAGGGGGAGACTAATTAACAGCATGTTGTCTCTGTCTTTTTTGGTCTCTTCATCCACAGCTATAATTGTTCTCCACCTTCAACACAGGGCTTCATAAGTTGCCTTAGGAAGCGTCTGAAAGCCGCTTTTGGCGTTGAATAATAGCGAACGGCACACTCAGTGGTATTATTTTTACCTCCGTGGAGTTGAGCTGAGCGGGGCAGGCTGAGCCCAGATTACGCTGCGTGCTTCCCCGAGCAGCGTCCCCCTCCTCGCTGCGTTTGGTTCGCTGCTTAATGCAGCTCTCCTGATGCAGCCTCACGTGGCTGCATAAAGGCACAACGAGGACTTGAATATTGCGAGCCGTTTCCAGGCGGCTCTCCATGCTGCCTGCAGGTGAGCAGGCTGAGGCTGGTCTCTCTGAGCCCAGCAGCTTTTGCTCCTGGTTTCCTATCGACCGACTCAGCAGTTAAGGGAAGATCGTGAGGAGGAGGAGAAGAGCAGGGAAGCGTGTGCTGGGCTCCAGCACAGACGGTCGCAGCAGCAGCAAGTCAGTAAGTCAGACTGCACCATTTTCTTCTCACCCTGCATAAAGGCGATGTGAGAAGCTGAAGGGAGCTGCCCCCTCCCCCACCTGGTGGTGATGCTGAAGTGGAGCCTTCCTCCCAGTCAGAAGACGCAGCCCATCTGGAGGAATCCCGAAAGACCTTTCCAGTTTAGTGATGTGTGTTTAAAGGCTGATTTTTCTTTTTTTATTTTTTCTTTTTTTATTTTTTTTTTAAACTCCCCAGCTAAGGCTGAAGCTTGTCTTCACTTGCAGTCGCAGCCAAGCTGAAGCGGTTTCAGCCTGCTAGCGGATATTTGCTGGCTGCTCTCTGGTTGCGTGTGTGTGTGGCTGCGAGCGCTTTCGCACATTGCCTGTGTGGATGTGGCTCTCATGCTTCTGAGTTATGGGTGCTGCAGAGGCTGGAGCAGAGCGGTGACCTTTTCTGGGGTGCCGGAGGAGGAAGAGTGGATTACACCGTGAAGTTCTGGCTTGCAGCCAGTGCCCTTGCAGAAAAAAAATAAATCACCTGGATATCTGCGTGTGGTGGAAACTGCTTCCTTGGAGCTGGTGTTTTCCTCTCCAAAATGGCTCACGCAGCTGCTTCCATTAAAAAAGTTCGAGAGTCTGAACTCGAAGAGAGGGAGAGAAACCTTGAGAAGGAAAGGAAACGGCAGCGGAAAATCTCTAGGGCAGATCGGAAACGCAAGGTATGAGGGGAAAACCAGCCCCCTTCTCCCTTTCCCCCCTACCCTTCCTCTCTCTGTGCAGCACCTCACAGGTGTTCATTGCCATGTGTACTGCTCTCCCTTGCATTTTCCTAACCTTTCATAACGTATTTCCCATTTGCATCCCTTCCCACCCGCTCTGAGCCCCACTGGGGAGTTAGCCTAGCTGCAGGGAGATTAAAGTGCTACCAGTCATTGCAGCCCACAGCTACACAGGGACCATGCGAATAAAGATGGCCATTGGCACACCAGGATTGCCTCCTTCCCTTCATCCCCAAAAAGCTAGAGATGCAGGTTAGGAGCCGGGTGTTTCAAGCCTCCAACTGATCTGAAGAAGTTGTCAGGGAGGGAGGGGGCTGTGTTTGTGCTTTCCAGTGTGAAGGTGCATTTCTGTACTTCCCAACAGCGTTTTTCCCCCATTTCCCATTTTTTTAGTTCCAGTTCCCACATCACCAGCAGTGCTAAATGCTGCATGGAAGACCTGTCTCATGGTGCTAGGCGTGTCAGCCCAGGCGTTATGCAGTGAGGTGTCAGTAACTGATCCTGGGCTAGCAGCCGTGATTCAGTGTATTTACACTGCACACTGCAGGTGTATTTTTCTAGCTAGGGCCGGAAACACCAGTCTGCAATCTGTTGGGTTTTAGCGTCTGTTGCTGGTGGCAATCTTTGGTTCTGTTAAGGTATATCTATTTAGATGTTTCAGATTTTGGGGAGGTTTCTTCTAATTTATGACTATTGTTTTCCTTCTGTGTTAGAAATGGGGAATGACATCTCTGCCTTGAAAAGAAAACAAAACAAAACAAAAAAAAGAAGAGATTAATTATTTTCCAGATCACTGTATGGTTTCCAAGGACAAAAATAATATGCAATAGTGGAGAAAATAGTAAACCCCCTGAAGCTTCTGTTAAGGTTAGCTTTAAGACTATATTACATTGGGAGTGCCTGTCTTAATGCCTCCTCATTGCTGTCTCTTTTCTCCCATCTCCGGAATCTCTAGATTGTGGTAGGCATTAACTCATTCACTGACACCATGTTTTGATCCATTCCTTATAAATTTCTTCTGGAAGTGATAATATCAAGAGACATAACCTGTCCTTTTCTTTCTTTTCTGCTTCATTGCATGTAAACACAGATCTCTCTGTAAAAGATAAAGAACAGAATCCAGCAATGTAATGTTTGAATTTACAGATCCTGTTGGCAAATCTCTAGGATTCAGAAACCATCTGCTCCCTTGGCATACCTGGGAAGTTTTGAATTAATTTTACATTCAATCTTAGGGATTTTCATATTCTGAACTGCGTGACTTAGATAAAATTACTGAGGCTGTTTGATACATTTGGGACCTTTGGGTATGATCTCCCTGACTTTTAAAAGGCTCGCTTTGCAGAGTTCATTAGGTTGCATTAGAATTCTCTTTATCAAAACAAGAATGTCATTTCTAATGTGTGCAGTGCTTGGATGCTGGGGCAGAGCTGCTTGGGGCAGATTGTGATTACTATCTAATCCCCTAAATGGGACACTGCAGCATGAGGTAGTTTTTGTGATTACATTTTTGATTGTGGAATTCTCTGCAAAACAGCCTTTTTAAAAAATTTATTTAACATATGGATGTCCTTGCTGGAGGGTCTCTTTTTTTCATGTTTGCCCAGCACCCATCTCAGTTCCTTCATCACGGCGTGTGTTGTTTTTCCTGATTTTCACATATCCTATTTCTTCAATGTGTTTGATTCAAACGTGTATTCTACTACTTTAATTAAAGCTGGATAGAATTAATACTCCCCCTTCTGCTATCTCTTTTCCCAGAGTGCTGCATATCCCTGACTGCAAGCAGACAGGCTCAGGCCGCATTCACGTTAGCAATAATGTGTGGTGATGCAGGCTCCTGAACAGATTTTCAGATCCTGGAAACAGCAGTAGTCTTTGCTTAGAAAATATGGAGAATTCCTTAATATTGTTTGCGTTTCTTTTTTAATATTCAGCCATGGCCCTGGCTCCTGTCTCTCTTTTACTGCGGCTGTACCTTGCTGTTACATAAACAAGTGCTTGGCTGCACCCTAAACTTGCCTTCAGATGGCAGGGGTGTGGGCTAGGCTGAGCACCTTCCCTCTTGCTCCTTCTGCACGAGACGCACAGCGGCACAAGTATGAGTTTGTTCATGTTTGTATGTATACATGCTCAGACTGTGCAGAATGCATACAGCAGAGCAGATTAGATACGTGAATATGTATACGCACGCTTGTATACACAAGATACACAAAACATATAATATACATTGTTTATAATACGATATTTGTATTTATTAATAAATTTGTGAGATATATGTATTTGTGAGCTATTTTTATATATGTCACTTAAATTGCTGAAGGAAAATAAATTGGTTCGCTGCAAAATGTGACTGTCTCCTAGTAGATGCAGAGCCCTCTCAGTTTTTGTTGACTTCCTTGGAAAATGGAGGCTATGAACAAATTGTACATGCAGGCCCATGAGAGACAAAATGTAAATGAGTACCGTTTGATCGCTCTCTCCACTTAAACTCGTTCTACAAAGGGGGAATATGGTCCCAGCTTTGTGACTTATTTAAAAGCAATTGCATTGCAGTGACCACATCTTCAGTACAACAGAGATCCATTTTGTTGTAGGAATGATAGTGAGGGGAGGAACATGCTTACCGTAGGGTATTGTGAGCTGTCTTTTCAAAACCTCGTTTGGATGTACACCATAGACCGATATGTGCTGTATGCATGAAGTGCTGATTTGGCCTTGAGATGGAAACTTTTTCTCTGACCCTGGAACATCCTGATTATGCAAAAGAGGATAATGAAGGGCCATGACTTTAGCTCCTCCACTCTGCCAGCATGTTGGGCATCTATTAGTACTGTCTTGCGCTTCTCTGAGCTTCCAGGGATGCTGCAGGGCGTGGGATCATTGTGGCTTGCCCTCTTCTCTTGAGTATTTTACTTGAGACGTTTTGCAGCATGATAGTCATCTGTCTTGATAGCAGCGTTACAAACCATGGCTGTATAGCTTCTGTGCTTCTCGGGTATGTTGAATGAACCAGAATGTTCTTAAATGTCATCATGTCTGCTGCTTGACATAGCTCTGGACAATCACAGCTCCCTGGCCATTAGCACAGCTGGGAAAAGGGCCAGCATCCGCAGCATTCTTGCTCAGATGGTGTCTTTGCAGTCCCTAGACATCTGTAGTTCTTTAAAGATTAACAGAATTATTCCACACCCAGAAACTGGAAAAAGGTGTCTGCAGGCCGCGGACAAATTTCAAGACCCTCTCTCTCCTGAATTCTTTCTGAGACTGACTTGATTGATTTTTAAAACCAGTTGACAAGAGTCAGCTCTGCTCATCGTGCGTTCTGATGGGAAATTTTCACTTCTATGCACGCAATCTTGTCTTGCAATGTTGAAAAACACATAGTGATGGAAATACGTGTATGTAAACAGAAAAACCCTAACGGTCCGAGTAGTTGCACAGGTACCCGAATGTCTCAAGATAATTAAAAAAATGTACTAATGGGAGGTGAGCAGCTTAAAATATGTAGATTTTATTGAAATTTAGGCATGACTAATTCCATTATACCTAAATTCAGGATATGGAAGGCCCAGCTCCACTTGCCTCTCAGTTTCTTTTGAGATAGCTGAATATGGCTCATCTTTTGCAGAATGAGGAAAGGGAAACAGTGTGATTACCCGATGGTCGTTCACTGAGTCAGCAGCAAAGCTGGAATTACAGCCTTGGAATACAGCTTCCTAGCCCCTGGCAGTGTGTAACACACACATGCGTTTCCCTGTCTAAAATACTTTTCAAAGCAGACAGAGCTTCCTGTCTTTGCATGTGATAAGTGATCAAAAGATTTTAGAAAACCTACAAAAAATGAAACCCGAACCAAAAAAAGCTATTATCAAAAATTGGTTTTGCTGCCAAATAAAACTGATTTTTGAATGTACAAGTACTGTGAGCTGATACCTGTTACCCTCTAACCATCAGTGATGAGGACAGAGTTTGACTTCTGGGCTCTGCTAGCAATAAGTGGGTATTTATTTAGTATTTAAATGCATAGTTTTAAGAAAGTTTTTTAAACTTTTACACCTTTTTTTAAAGGCCAGCCTCATGAGTTCGGCATCCTTTAGCATAAAATGTCCCACAGTATCTGGAATATTCACCATTGCTTGCCAAAAGAGATTGGGAAACAATTGCATCTCAGTGAATTCTGTCCTTTGCTTGACACCCGAGGCACTGTCAAAGCTCACACGGAGCTGATAGGCGATATCTGCAGAAAGACAAGGATGGAGGGAGAAGTAAAGGGCTGCTGCTGTCAGCAGAGTTCAGGTGCGCGTGGGGAAGAGTCACCGTTCAGTGAAAGACTTCCATTGCGTAGCTGCAGAAGACAGGGACGGAGTTTTCTTTACTTTCCTTCAACAGCAGACCTTTTTTTCACGTTGCCACCTTCTTTTTCACAGACAATGTCAGAAAGAAATCTCACGTTACAAAGTTCACGTAGAAAATGATGTCACCTTTGTCTCAGAACCGTGTGGAAAAGCCCATTTGAAATTCAAGCATACCTTTGGCAGGGTAGATGGGTATTTGTCATCTGGTACGTGTGCTCCGCACTGAGGCTAGTAGCCACAAACTTCATCCCTTTGGAAAGGGCCAAAGATTCAGTGAGGAAGGGAGGAATTAATGAGTGCTTGGGCATGCTAGAAAAAGGTATCCCAAGGAGGAAGTCATCTGGAGGTATAGTTCTTCACTCTTGGTCACTCTTACTTTGGTTCATGGATGCCAAACAGCTTCTCGCCTGCTGTGAACATGGCACAGGATCAGTATGGAGTTTTTATTGGGCTAAGGAAGAGAGAGAAAGTCTCTTGCTGTATAACCTCTGTATACTTGAAGCTTTCAAGGTTTATGGCAGCTTTAACCTAGTGTTTTTTCTTTAGCACTGAGTATGTCTTATCTGTTCAGTGTTGTGTTCG